ATGTTGCCCCTCATCTCTGATTTTCCGCTGGGCGTGCAATATCAAGTGCGCCTATAGGCTATTTAGTGTGGTCTCAATCAAATCATCCATATAGGCTATGAAGTGCATGCTCGGAGAAGCACAGAGCAAAGGAATATTTCTAAAGATAGCTGCTGGGTTGGTGTGAATAAAACTAGGCTGCTTTACACACTGCAATGGATATTCTAACCCTGAGCCCCGGCCTACTCTGCTCTTGCTGATCAACTTTTGTGTGTGCTGCCTAACCAATGGCTGTGCTGTGTAAGACCACATGACAGTTCAGGAAGAGAGAGTCCAAGGCTTCTTCTCCAATTTTTTTTGATTAGGCCTAGTCCAAAAAAGGCACTATCTTGCGTGAAGACTAGCCTATAGCCTAGGTTCTGTTCAGTTTGAGAAGAGCTTGAAGATGAGGAGGACCGGAGGTCAATTTTTATAGCTTGCTACTACTATCATTGATTTTATTAAAAACAATATGTTTCTTGCCCATGATGTAGGCCTATTTATCAGAGGTATTGACCTTACAATAAGCCAGATTTGAGTAATTTACATTGTGGTGCTGAAACTTGAAGCAGCAGCCGTGGAGCAATCAATTGGAAATGGACAGCTCATGGTGCTGAAAGTAGGCAAATTCGAGTAGGCATAACTCATTTAAACCGTTTTCATTTTAATTAGACTTTACTAACAACAAGAGTGCTTTGTGTTGGAGCCAATCTTTTCCGATTTAAGAAATAAGAGGTAGGCCTAACCTTTTGACAGATGAAAATTAGGCTATATGCTGCTATATCCATAGATTTGTCAGTCAATTCCGCCACCCACCATGCACTCTTTAAATAACAGCCCTTCACTGAGACGGAGGTAGGCTAAGTTAAAACCAAGACTTGAATTGAGGAGGTATGAGAGGGTCAGCCATAGGCCTAGTTTTTATTAAAGAAAATGTCAAAAAGCACAGGCCTAACCCTTGTTAGCTTAAGATTGTTAAGACAATAAAATGGATCTGATTATATAAAGTGATCTATAACAGCGCTTTGGTCCGCAATGCTTTATGCTAGAACCAAGCTCTAAAATACCCAGGAAAGACGTGACTCCGATGCGTATGGGGATACCATTGTTTAGTTTCTTTGACATTCAGAGGCTGAGCTACAACCTATAGCCGAGGAGACAAAACATTGACTTTGCTTGGGAAGTAATCTAATTGTCACTATCAATTGATTAACCTGTTCACTTTCTGTACAATAGAAGATGTTTAAACCCAGACAGATTGTAGGGAAACATTTGTGACCTACTCTCATTGGGTTAAGCCACAGAAAAAGAGTAACCAGCAGCTAAAGCTTAAATGTTTTCTGCGTCGGTAGGCCTACACTGTCTGGGGTGGAAAGGTAGGCTTAACTTTTGAATGTAGCATACTCAGATTCCTAATGACGTCTCAGATTGTATTATTTGCACAGGGACAGTTTCATTGCAAACATTTCATGAAATATGATAAGGTGAAACACATAGGCTTAGCTCTCTGTCCATTCTTAGCCTGCAATTTCGGTAATTTATGTGGTATAAAAAAATATTCTGCTAATATGTGAAATTACGCACAATAGCATGACATTTTTATAAAAGGCAATTTTTTCTCGGACATGTAAATACGATTATGTATTCATGCAATGCTTTTACTATAAAGGAGATCTTCCCACCCCTACTCTTGTCCACGGTGGTCTGCGAGCCCACAACCTTCTGGCCCGCAGCCCTGTGCGCCATCAAAACTATGAACGCGCTTATGAATCATTACATCATTGAATAAGTTTGTGTTAATAACTAGCTTACTAACATTTACAAATGTGAGAGTATTGATTAATAAATGGTGAGCAAACTGTAAATGCCTTATAAACGGTTTATTATTGAACATTAATATAAAGGGTTAACCAATGTCAGTAGGAGCAGCGATTTAGGATAAATTCTGCCTTAGACCACAATGAAAAAGATTATATGGACAGGGCAGATCAGAACTGTTACTCTGAGACGCTTGATATATACATGATGGTCTAAAGTTTATACTTTGGTGTAAATGTAACAAATATTTTAAATCTTACAAGTTTGTAGTCAGGTAAGGCAAGCTAAGAAGTAGGAAGAATGGAAATGGGAGAAATAGAGATAATGTGTGACTGACCAATGTATGCACAATGCAGGAACATGATACACAGTAGTACCTCAATACTTTTACAATGTGGCATGGAGCAAAATCTGACAGTTCAGGATTTGTTGCAAAGTAGTAGATTCTGTGATCAGTTTATTGTGTGTTTAACTAGCACCATCTAGTGGATTTTTTGTTTGTTTTTGTACTTGCCAAAGACACCACAGAATGTATCAATATGTCTTTGTCATCTCTCCTCTTCACAAAATATATTGGGATCAGTTATACCATCCCATGAGGACATCCAACATGCCAAGGCATGGTCAGTTATGAGCATAATAGCCTAATAAATATCATGAGTAAATGAGAATAAGCAGATGTATTATCTATTGACAATGTAATCATGAATGTCCATTTGGCTCTCAGAGCCTTTTGGTGAAAATATGAAGGAAACAACTGATATCAAAGTTTTATTGTACAACCGTGAGTGCTCGTACAATAGTTAGGAATTAATCCAAAAAGTTAATGTGACCAAAATCATCAACACCAGTAAAACACTAATTTCATAAAACACAGATGAAGTTTAACAGTGTCACAAGCATTACAAAAGATTTCTTCAACATAATATCTAACACAAAAGACAATTCAGGCACACGTATGGGGTATACAGTGCATTCGGAAAGTATTCAGACCCAATTACCTTTTCTACATTTTGTTACGTTACAGCCTTATTCTAAAATGGATTATATAAACAAATGTTCATCAATCTACACACAATACCCCATAATGACAAAGCGAAAACAGATTTTTCCGGTTTTTTTTTTGCAAATGTATTAAATAAAAAACAGAAATACCTTATTTATATAAGTATTCAGACCCTTTGCTATGAGACTCGAAATTGAGCTCAGTTGCATCCTGTTTCCATTGATCATCCTTGAGATGTTTCTACAACTTGATTGGAGTCCACCTGTGTTAAATTAAATTGATTGGACATGATTTGGAAAGGCACACACCTGTCTATGTAAGGTCCCACAGTTGTCAGTGCATGTCAGAGCAAAAACCAAGCCATGAGGTCAAAGGAATTGTCAGTAGAGCTCCGAGACAGGATTGTGTCGAGGCACAGATCTGGGGAAGGGTACCAAAAAATGTCTGCAGCATTGAATTCTTAAATGGAATAAGTTTGGAACCACCAAGACTCTTCCTATATCTGGTCCGCCCGGCCAAACTGAGCAATCAGAGGAGAAGGGCCTTGGTCAGGGAGGTGACCAAGAACCTAAAGGTCTCTCTGACAGAGCTACAGAGTTCCTCTGTGGAGATGGGAGAACCGTTCAGAAGGACAACCATCTCTGCAGCACTCCACCAATCAGGCCTTTATGGTAGAGTGGCCAGACGGAAGCCACTCTTCAGTAAAAGGCACGACAGCCCGCTTGGAGTTTGCCAAAAGGCACCTAAAGGACTCTCACCATGAAAAACAAGATTCTCTGGTCTGATGAATCCTGAATGCCAAGTGTCATGTCTGGCAGAAACCTGGCACCATCCCTACGGTGAAGCATGGTGGTGGCAGCATCATGCTGTGGGGATGTTTTTCAGCGGCAGGGACTGGGAGACTAGTCAGGATCGAGGGAAAGATTAACGGAGCAAAGTACACAGAGATCCTTGATGAAAACCTGTTCCAGAGCGCTCAGGACCTCAGACTGGAGTGAAGGTTCACCTTCCAACAGGACAACGACCCTAAGCACACAGCCAAGACAATGCAGGAGTGGCTTCGGGACAAGTCTCTGAATGTCCTTGAGTGGCCCAGCCAGAGCCCGGACTTGAACCCGATCGAACATCTCTGGAGAGAACTGAAAATAGCTGTGCAGCGACGCTCCCCATCCAACTTGACAGAGCTCGAGAGGATCTGCAGAGAAGAACGGGAGAAACTCCCCAAATACAGGTGTGCCAAGCTTGTAGCGTCATACCCAAGAAGACTCGAGGCAGTAATCGCTGCCAAAAGTGCTTCAACAAAGTACTGAGTAAAGGGTCTGAATACTTATGTAAATGTGATTTTTCAGTTTTTGCTTTGCCATTATGGGGTATTGTGTGTAGATTGATGAGGGGAAAAAACGAATCCATTTTAGAATAAGGCTGTAACATAATAAAATGTGGAAAAAGTCAAGGGGTCTGAATACTTTCCAAATGCACTGTATGACATAATGAGGCTCACATTTACTAAATTAGGTTGTTGTAACATTGGAATTTCAACTCCTGATGATAAGAAATCCATCAAATTCGAGCCCCTACTACATCAAGGAAATGTGCAATACCAGACATGTTGGTATGTAGTTGATGTTTGGATTACTGTAAGATGTTGCGGTTGAGTTAAGATTTTAAAACCAATTAATATTTTATCAAAAATAGCACCACTGATCATACCTAAGAAATTTCCCTTAAAATAAGACAAAATAAAAAGTGTAGATACTACACAAATGCTGCCTTAACTAGCAGTATGAAGGAAAACAAAGTCAAACTGCCATATTTCATATAGAAACCAGCCCTTTCTGCTATGATACCGCATGCATACTTTACAATGCAATACAGAGGGCCAAAGGATCATTTATGATAAACCAATTCAGCAGCAAAAGCCTATTTGGTCACCGTCTTAAAGTCCATGAACAATTTAAAAGCAACACAGGTTTTGGTTCATGTGACTTTGTGAAATCGAGGGGAAATCACATCTGAAGACAAAAGAAATGTTGACCAGAAAAAGCTACAGACTATAAGTAGGGTAAGCACTTGCGGAGGACATTAATGAGTTGTTGGCACTGGAATGTTGGGTTCTTAAAGAGAGATTGAGTTTCAGGGTGGGATTTGGGTTTGGGAGGGGCTCTCTCAGTGGTGGGCTCTCTCAGTGGTGGGCTCTCTCACTGACCACATCCTGCAGCCGTTTGAGCAGCACATCCTCGCTCTCGGGACACACCCGTTTGGTGGGGGACTCGCCCAAGTAGTCGCCCTCCATGGAAAAGGCCCTTTTCCTGCTCACCCCGCCCTGGCGGATCATCCTGTTGATGTCAGTCAGCTCCTGGGGAAGGAGGGGTGAGCTAACATGAACATACACACAGGCAGTAAAAGGAACCTTTGCCCCTGGGAGTGCTCCTGAGCCAAAAGGGGTCCCCTAAATCAGCCTCTCAAACCTCTCCTCACGGACACCCAGCTATTATATGCATTTTAATTATTCCAGAGCTAACACGCCTGACCTGATCAACTTGTCAACTAATCATCAAGCCCTTGACTACTTCAAATCAGGGGTGCTAGTTCAGCAAAAATGTGAAACGCCTGGGGTTCCCTGAGGAGAGGTTTGAGAAACCAAGGTAAATGGACTGTAATATTGTCCATAAATTACCTAATTGGAAAGAAAGGACCACACCTCCCCACACATGTGCAAAGTATGGATTATGTTGATTCACGAGTTAATACATGTATTTATGTTAAAGTATGTGTATATGAACCATACAGACAACACAATTTGAGGTAACAATTAGCAACTAAACTTCTGTACAGCCACTTTATAATACAAACACACACAAATGCATAAGGGTGGGAACATACTTTGGAGGGGCTGCCGTTGATCTTGTAGGTGTAGGCAGAATTGGGGGTGAGACAGGAGCCATTCTTGTGTGGGGACACGTAGATCGAGTGTCTCTGGGAGATGCGGCGGGGGGACAGCGGCTGGGCTCTCATCGAGGGGAACGGAGACAGAGGAGGGGCCTCCATCTGGAAGACAAGAGGGAACAAACAATTAACTACAGACAACTAGCTTACAAACCTCAAACCTCTGACTGCTTTGACAGATAACTACAACTAACAACAAATACACTACTAATGTATTATAGAGACCGAAAGTGTAGACTGGTGTCAGGACAGAAGTTCTGTCCATGGTTAAAGTTGTATTAGTCATATGTACAGGATACACATGGTATACACCGTCCAACAAAATGCTAACTTGCAGGTTCCTTCAACAATGCAACAATACGAAATAATAAAAGATAATACGAACAGAAAGTAAATGGCACAGTAGAATATAGGAAGGCACAATTTATAGTACAATATTTACACATGTATCAGGGCAGGGGGAATTAGGGGGCAACTGTTTCAATTGTGCAGTATTAACAATAGTAAATAAGAGTCTGGTAGCAGCAGTTGTGATTTGTGTGTAGCATGAATGTATATGTGTGTGGATGTGTGTGTCTGTGCGGTGAGTGAGTGCATGTGTGCTAAGGTGCGGAGAGTCAGTGCAGGTGGTCAGACCAGTTCAGATTGCTTGTAGATAGAAACGGTCTCCGAGCCTTTTGGTATCAGACCTCATACCATACCCTGTTGTCCATGCTGGGGGCGGCGTATCGGAGGGCAAAGCCCTTTATCTTCAGCACATAGACAGAGTTGTAGAACTGGATGAGGTCGCCGCGCTCCTCGCCTTGGACAGGGGCCTCCTCTCTGCTGCTCTGGTCGGCTTTCTCAGCAGCTGAAATTAAGACTGGTGGGTGCATTGTTCAATAACGGATACTCATATCACCAAAGAGTCTGCCTACCGTATCAATAACCATTTTTTTTATACAATAAAAAAAGAATATGAAAACTACATTTTCTAACAGCTGGACATTCATTCAGGTGACATTCAGTGGGATTCAGTTCCAGAGTCTCTCTCAGCTCAGGTATGAGGTATCTTTTAGTGGTCCGAAAGTAACTATCCGAACCACCTGGCTATACTCCAGCAGATAGAAAGGCAATTTGGGGGCGAGCTGTCTTACATTTTCCACCAGAGGTGGGGTCCACTTCCATGTTCTCGTCTGAGGGCTGTTCTCTAGTGCTGCTGGGCCGGATGAGGACACTGCGGTAGACCTGTGGAGTGGGTACACACAAGATCCATAAGGAACACATCACGCAAAAATTATTTTATGCTATACGACAGGCACAAATTCTATATGTAATACAATATTAGTGGTTTATATTAAAATCAGTTTTCTGACTATACACCACAAAAAGGCACCTCTCTCTGCAGAAGTGTTTTGGAGAAGATCTTGAAATAAAGTACTGAAGTGTTCAGAAAAATCTGGCATGTGGGTTACTTACATGACTGCTGGCTTGTGGTTGACTGCGGTAACATTTCATGATGTCCTGGAACGTGTGGCCTTCTTTCGTAATCTACAACAACATTCATATGTATACTATTAATAGGAATTCAAGCAACAATCACTCAGAAAATGAGAAAATAAATGTATGCTGAAATGCTTTATGACAGCGTTACTTAAACGTGTTAGTGCCAGGGGCTGGCAAAACATGGCCTTCTTCCTCTGGGTACAGCTTGGGTTAAAACAATGTGACAATTGCGTTTTATTCCCCCCCCCCAAAAAAAGTATCAATGCGTTCTCTCTATATCTACTACCCTAACACATAATTGTTTTAAGATAGCTTGATGGTCCATGTCATTACTATTTGATTATCTATTTTAGGACACCTGGGGCTATCAGAAACAAATGTGTAAAAAAATGTTGATGAAACTTCTGAATTTTGAATTTTGCCTTACTGCCATTACCTCAATTAATGCACAACATAACACAAAGACATGTCAAATCAGGTAGGCCACATTTCAATTGGAAGGATTTATTGTTTGTAGTGACTGAAATTCATCAGAAAGGTATTGGGATCATCTGGTAGTAAGTGTGTGGATGTGTGTAGAAAAGAAGATCTGCATTGCTTTCAAATGAGATTGTGTCCTGCGCGGCTTGTGGGTGTGGTAGAGGGAAACATAAGACACGTGTTCCTGAGAGTCTTAGCTTTCAGGAATGGGATCATAATAGCTGATAGCCACAACTGTTCAAAAGTTAGAGGCAAATTTGTAAAAACAAAAATAAAGAAACGCTCTGTTTGTCACAAATGTCAATAGCGGATATCGGTTCTATGAACCAAGCGGCGCATTCAATGGATTGAATATTATTGGGGGGGGGGGGGACGACAAAATAGCCCTCTGGAATATTGGGAGGACTTATATGCCTATGCAGTCAGAACAATATTCTACAGTGAAAATGAGTCAATTCTGCTGAAGGTCACATTGAGTCAGTAAGATAAGGTGATGATTATGATATGGGCCATCCGGAGTACGTCAGTTATTGCAGTAGGACGGACACACACACACTGTATTATTGAGTCAATTGTCATATTACAGTTTCCCCTCAAGGAAATGTGCCACAGATGCGGTAGAGGTCAATCGAACTCGACCATAACAATGAAATTGCCATGGAAACGCGTGGGGGAAAGGGCCACAGGAGCAAGATGGAGAGTCTCCTCATTGCCCCCCCACAGCAAAATCTGCCTGCATTTAGGTTATTGTGTATTTCACACTATGTTGAGGTAAAAATCGCAGTATAATGCTTTGTATGGATGTCAACCCCAACACGTTCATGTCATCGTTACCAATCAACTGCATTACAGTTAAAAAACGGCTGACTACCAGTATGCTAGCTATGCTAACCAGCTTATAAGAATGGGAGTTAGCATTTAGCAGTCACTTCTAAAACTGAAAAGGGACAACTTCTAAATGTTATGCAGTGAAAACAGCCAAATATATCAAAATCGGACTTAAGTAACCACATGGTATAGGCCTGTTACAATACATAAATCCTGACGGATATCCACTCTGTTAGATCAGATTTGTTAAATGTGCACCAATCCATTGACTCCTTTACTGCATCTATGTTTAAATATGAGATGAGGGCAAGCAGTTCAACACAGGTAGGTCACAATATTTACCATTTTGGGCAGTGTTTGTCCATAATGACATCACAACTACATAAGCATGTGAGCCCATAGAATTAGAATGCCATGTCTGAGCCAGCCATGATGTCACAACTAATCAATACATTCCAAACATTCCGTTTCAACATTCTGGTGACTAGGGAACATAGAACACCAGTTTTAACAAGACAATCTAGAAGATTCCTCCCGGGTATAGTTATTACAGACTAGAGAAACACAGCAAGATCTGTGCCAAGCTCCAGACCAGGGGGGTCTAGGACTCCACCAAGTACCGGCTCAAGGGCACTGACCTAGCCGGCTACGTCAAGTGATCCGTGGTGGGATGCACCAAGGGACCTGGGCCTGTCTGGAAATGATCACTCTTGTATTTTTGATTCAACAGACAGCCAGAACAGAGAGGAAGAGCAGTGGGGCTGAGATTCGAGAACAGACATATGTGCTGTCGGCATTGGCTGTGACTGCTAGACCAACCTTTGCCCAAAAGATGACCTCTACCTTGGATCAGCAAGGGTTCCATAAAGAGGCAGTACTACTAGGAGGCAGTAGTATTGTATCCAGAACCAACTAAATCAACTGTATACAGTAGTTCCTTAAGTCCACAGAAACACCTGCAGTTCTTCAATAAAATAATGAATCCAAAAGAACGCATTACAAATGTTTTCAGTCAGATTTCTTGATGGTGCAGAAAAGTAGAGGACATTTTATATTAAGAAACAAGGGAATACATTTGTCAAATTTGAATATAAAGGGTATTCTGTGTTTTAATAGGGAATGTAAGTCTAACAATTTTCTTAGAAATTGAAAAAAAGAAAGATTAATGAAAGAGTATAAAATAACGAAACATTTTATTCAAGGTTATTGTCCACATGAGAAAAAATTAAAACAAGAAAGTATCATATTAAGTACCCTGTATGACAGAAATAATTGACTAACGGATTCTAATCAAGTCATTATCACCTGTGTCAATCCCTCTGTTCAAGACCAACAGAACATCCCTCAACTCATTCAGTGAATCCAGAAACACAGCGGCGTAGAAAGGCATATTTAGCAGACGCTCTCGAGAGGCTTACAAATCAATGCATTCAACTTAAGTAGCTAAAACAACCAGTGCTTCAGTACCTTAGAGATGATGTAGACGGCGCAAAGGAGGAGCTGGTCCAGGTGTCTGTCCTTCATCAGCTCCGGACACTGGACGACGGAGTGCTCAAAGCACGTCCAGATCTTCCCCCGCAGCTCTGCCGAGATGTCCAGCCTCACGCACAGGTCTCTTAGCCGCACACTGGCCAGGTGGTACACCTACAGAGAGGGCGAGAGAGGGAGATAATGTGTCTCAGCTGGCTGAAGATTTTCAATGCACCAAGGAAACATCTCCAAGAGTGAAACATTTGAGTTATTTGTAACAGCTAGTACTACTTACACCATTATTCATTATTTGTGTGGCATGTGAAGAAAAAAATAAAGCCCCCCTGTAGATAATGACTGTGTGCTGTTCTGACTTCGTATGCATCCCAAATGGCACCCTATTCCCTATATAGTGCACTACTTTTGACCAGGGCCCACAAGGCTCTGGTCAAAAGTAGTGCACCATATCGGACATGGTTCTCAAACCTCTCTGGGACCCCTATACGTTTCACAAATTTTGTTGTTGCCCTGAACTAGCTCACCTGACTCACTAGTCAAGGGCTTGATGATTAGTTTACAATCAGGTTTGCTAGCTCTGGAATAGATACGTGGAACGGCTGGGGGTACCCGAGGACAGATTTGCGAACCACTGATACAGAGAATAGGGTGCCATTTGTGACGCAGCCTGTGTGTGCCCTCTGTTTCACCTTCCTGAAGAAGAGGGCCAAGGAGCCTGTGCGTCGGGGCCGGCTCTGTTGGGGGTCTGGCTGGGCCTGGGGTGCCGGGCTGGGTGAGGCTGTCAGGAGGACCTGGGCTGTAATGGGGCTGCCGGGCTCCCCTCCGGTCTGCACCTGGATCAGTGTGATGCCTCCCAGATCATTCTTTATACCTGGGGGTCACACAGGCACATTGTACTCAGAACAGGCGGGGACGATTGGCTTGTGGAGGCGTTGCGCAATTTCATATCAATAAAATGACCAAAAGTATGTTCCGTGTAGGGTTGCAAAGGGAGGGTATATTACTGGAAACTTTCTGAGTTTACCAGTAAACTACCAGAATTTTGGTAGCTTTCAAGTTTTTTTAATGAATTTTATAAGATTACATCTAGTGGCCTTTTTGGGTACTTCAGATTATCACAGGGGACTAATTATCTCTGACCCTCTGTGTGGCCCTGTGTGGCCTCCTAAATATAAACCATCAACTTAGTGAATGAGGATGTCAGCATGAAATATTTTTTTAATTTTTACAACTTTTATTTATTTTACCTTGTCAATGTCTGTTGTAAATGTTTTGGTGACAAATTGGTAGCAGTTGTGAAAAAACTCAATAGTTGGAAGAGTTGCAGAGTTAATTGAAAATAATGCCATTGTTGAGTAGATGCTTTTTTTCATTAATTAGGCAATTTTCTGTTGAACCATATGGTCTATCCACTAGAAATTCATGGACACATAAAAAAACGAATACTATGCAGGAATAATTAAAAACAAGTTATTCAACTATAAATGTCCAAAGTTACCATAGATTACTGAAAATTCAGGTAACTCGTATGTGATGGTACCAAATGGACCATGATTTTTAGTCGCTATTCATTCTTCTGGAATAACTTCATACAGTCGTGGTCAAAAGTTGAGAATGACACAAGTATTGGTCTTCACAAAGTTTGCTGCTTCAGTGTTTTTAGATATTTTTGCCAGATGTTAATATGGTATACTGAAGTATAATTACAAGCATTACATAAGTGTCAAAGGCTTTTATTTACAATTACATTAAGTTTATGCAAAGAGTCAATATTTGCAGTGTTCACCCTTCTTTTTCAAGACCTCTGCAATCCGCCCTGGCATGCTGTCAATTAACTTCTGGGCCACATCCTGACTGATGGCAGCCCATTCTTGCATAATCAATGCTTGGAGTTTGTCAGAATGTGTGGGTTGTTTGTTTGTCCACCCGCCTCTTGAGGATCGACCACAAGTTCTCAAATGGGATTAAGGTCTGGGGAGTTTCCTGGCCATGGACCCAAAATGTTGATGTTTTGTTCCCCTGAGCCACTTAGTTATACTTTTTGCCTTATGGCAAGGTGCTCCATCGTGCTGGAAAAGGCATTGGTCGTCACCAAACTGTTCTTGGATGGTTGGGAGAAGTTACTCTCGGAGGATGTGTTGGTACCATTCTTTATTCATGGCTGTGTTCTTAGGCAAAATTGTGAGTGAGCCCACTCCCTTGGCTGAGAAGGAACCCCACACATGAATGGTCTCAGGATGCTTTACTGTTGGCATGACACAGGACTGATGGTAGCACTCACCTTGTCTTCTCCGGACAAGCTTTTTTCCGGATGCCCCAAACAATCAGAAAGGGGATTCATCAGGGAAAATGACTACCCCCCAGTCCTCAGCAGTCCATCCCTGTAACTTTGCAGAATATCAGTCTGTCCCCTGATGTTTTTCCTGGAGAGAAGTGGCTTCCTCGCTGCCCTTCTTGACACCAGGCCATCCTCCAAAAGTCTTTATAATAAATAATATAATATGCCATTTAGCAGACGCTTTTATCCAAAGCGACTTACAGTCATGCGTGCATAATTTTTTTTTTTTGTGTATGGGTGTCCCGGGGATCGAACCCACTACCTTGGCGTTACAAGCGCCGTGCTCTACCAGCTGAGCTACAGAGGACCACACTGTGCGTGCAGATGCACTCACACCTGCCTGCTGCCATTCCTGAGCAAGCTCTGCACTGGTGGTGCCCCGATCCCGCAGCTGAATCAACTTTAGGAGAAGGTCCTGGCGCTTGTTTGACTTTTTGGGGCGCCATGAAGCCTTATTCACAACAATTGAACCTCTCTCCTTGAAGTTCTTGATGATCCGATAAATGGTTGATTTAGGTGCAATCTTACTAGCAGCAATATCCTTGCCTGTGAAGCCCTTTTTGTGCAAAGCAATGATGATGGCACGTGTCTCCTTGCAGGTAACCATGGTTAACAGAGGAAGAACAATGATTTCAAGCACTACCCTCCCTTTAAAGCTTCCAGTCTGTTATTCTAACTCAATCAGCATGACAGAGTGATCTCTAGCCTTGTCCTCGTCAACACTCTCACCTGTGTTAACAAGAGAATCACTGATATGATGTCAGCTGGTCCTTTTGTGGCAGGGCTGAAATGCAGTGGAAATGTTTTTGGGGGATTAAGTTCATTTTTATGGCAAAGAGGGACTTTGCAATTAATTGCAATTCATCTGATCACTCTTCATAACATTCTTGAGTATATGCAAACTGCCATCATAAAAACTGAAGCAGCAGACTTTGTGAAAATGTATATTTATGTCATTCTCTAAACTTTTGACCACGACTGTACATTCTATACTCATTAATTTGTTAGCTAAAGTCCGCAGACCATTTATGAGAGATTCTTATACAAGATACGGACAAAATAAATCTGGGGACACCACTATCCTCCAGAACCGTAGTGGTATCCTTTCTAGTGTTTTTAAATCACTTTTTAAAGGCCTTCTCCTTAATTAAAAAATAAAACATCAGCCACAAGATGGATATGGGTAAATCCAGGGGTGTAAAGTACTTAAGTAAAAATACTTCAAAGTACTCCTAAGTAGTTTTTTGGGTCATCTGTACTTTACTATTTATATTTTTGACAATTTACTTCACTACATTCTTAAAGAAAATACAGTACTTTTTATTCCGTACATTTTCCCTGACACCCAAAAGTACTCAGTACATTTTGAATGCTTAGCAGGACAGGAAAATGGTCAAATTCACGTGCTTATCAAGAGAACATCCCTGGTCATCCCTACTGCCTCTGATTTGGCGGACTCACTAAACACACATGCTTCATTTATGAATTATGTCTGAGTGTTGGAGTGTGTCTCCCTGGCTTTCAGTAAATAAAAAAAACTAGAAAATGTCACCATCTGGTTTGCTTAATATAAGGATTTTGAAATGATTTGTACTTAAGTATATTTTAGCAACTACATTTACTTTTGATACTTAAGTAAATTTAAAACCAAATACTTTTAGACTTTTACTCAAGTAGTATTGTACTGGATGACTTTCACTTTTACTTGAGTCGTTTTCTATTAAGGTATCTTTACTTTTACTCAAGAATGACAATTGGGTACTTTTTGCCCACTGGGTAAATCCATGTTAATTCAATCACTTTTTGACAGCATCCCTTTTGATTTAAACAAAACTTTCCATACTTGGTTGCACATAGAAGAAGTGGTCAGAAAGTGACTTTTTAGACCTGAAGTCCAAAACATTCCGGAGATAAAAAATAAATAAATATGTGTTTGAATAAATAGTCATTTTTAAACCTTTAATGTCAATTATCTAAAAATGCGTAAATGCCGATTTGTTTTCCATATTTGCAATAGGGCTGGGAATTGCCTGGGACCGATATTATCACAATACTTTGGTGGCGATTTTCACGATTCCGTATGTATTGCAATTAGATTCTGTGATTTTATATCGTTTTGATGTTCCAAACATATTGCTCACCATGTCTGCTGCTGAAGTACAAGAGAGCCATGAGAAAAACAAGTTTTGATCAGTCATGGAAATAAGTGCTGAAATCTAATTGGCTCCCTATTTAAAAAGAAGATGGAGAACAAGCTATGAAGGGTTTTGGTGCAAATAATATTGTGATAGTCAAAACGATACGATATATCATCAAAAATTATATCCCGATACGTAACTATTGATTTTTCCCCCCATGTTATAGCATAGACCCTATTTCACATCAGCTGAGGTTTTTGTGTTTTGCCTACCATCGGTTGAGGCACAAAATGCTCTTGAATATAGGGTGGGTGTCATTTCTATCATAGAAATTTAACACATAGGTTCATTCTATCTCTTCAGACAACTGCAATCTAGCTGGTACACCATTGACATTTAAAATTGAATGCATTTTTGACTTCTTATTACTACCACAAAGATAACTGCCGGTCCACCCACTGTCGAATGTCAACTTAAATTGTCATGTCTATTCTATAATCTACATTTCTATGATTTCAATAGATTTCCTATGGAGGATTGACAGTATAATTTAAAACAACAGATATTCCCATTCAACTCAACATTCTCTTTGTGGTACCATTTGAAAGTACATTTATCAGCCAAAACATGACACCCTGCCTGTATTCAAGAGCATGTTGTGTCTCAACCGAAGGCAGGCACAACACAAAAAACTTAGATCAGGGATGGGCGCCACAAAAAATCTGAACTCATCATGAGGGGCCGCAGTGGCTCAGGGGTCTGCGTCCCTACATCCATACCCACAGTCTGAGCCGGCCCTAGCCTTTTGGGGGCCCTAAGTGAAATTGCAAGCAAAACATTTTAGCGGCCCCCCTCTTGACAACGTTTGATCCGCGGGCCTACGAAAGGGACACCTGTTGCCAATCCCTACCTTAGATTATGTAAAATATGGTCTAAGCTACAACGATTATTATTATTTTTATAATTGAGGCTAAAGGTATTTTCTTTAAATAAAAAACAATTTTTTCCCCATAAGTTATAAAATAGTTTGACAACCCTGTTTGTAAGCTTTTAAATTATATCAATCTTAACTGTTTATCTTTTCCAGTTATGAAGAGATGATGTCTCATGGTATTGTGGGGTATGCAAAATGGGTCAACTTTGAGCACCTTTATCTCTTAAATGTTTTGGCATTCAGGTCCAAAAAGTCACTTTCTGAGCACTTCTACAATGGTCAAATATGTATGGAAGGTTTATAAAAAAAATCAAAATGGGTGCTGTCAAAAAGTGAATGAATTCAAATGGATTTATCCGTATACACTACTGGTCAAAGGTTTTAGAACACCTACTCATTCAAGGGTTTTTCTTTATTTTTACTATTTTCTACATTGTCATCAAAACTATGAAATAACACACATGGAATCATGTAGTAACCAAAAAAGTGTTAAACAAATGAGATTCTTCAAATAGCCACCCTTTGCCTTGATGACAGCTTTGCACACTCTTGGCATTCTCTCAACCAGCTTCACCTGGAATGCTTTTCCAACACTCTTGAAGGAGTTCCCACATATGCTGAGCACTTGTTGGCTGGTTTCCTTCACTCTGCGGTCCGACTCAACCCAAACCATCTCAATTTGGTTGAGGTCGGGGGATTGTGGAGGCCAGGTCATCTGATGCAGCACTCCATCACTCTCTTTCTTGGTCAAATAGCCCTTACACAGCCTGGATGTGTGTTGGGACATTGTCCTGTTGAAAAACAAATGATAGTCCCACTAAGCCCAAACCAGATGGGATGGCGTATTGCTGCAGAATGCTGTGGTAGCCATGCTGGTTAAGTGTGCCTTGAATTCTAAATAAATCACAGACTGTGTCACCAGCAAAGCACCCCCACATCCTCTTCCATGTTTTACGGTGGGAAATACACACGCGGAGATCATCCGTTCACCCACACCGCGTCTCAAAGACACAGCGGTTGGAAACCAAAAATCTCAAATTTGGACTCCAGACCAAAGGACACATTTCCACCGGTCTAATGTCCATTGCTCGTGTTTCTTGGCCCAAGTAAGTCTCTTCTTCTTATTGGTGTCCTTTAGTAGTGGTTTCATTGCAGCAATTCGACCATGAAGGCCTGATTCACACAGTCCCCTCTGAACAGTTGATGTTGAGATGTGTCTGTTACTTGAACTCTGAGAAGCATTTATTTTTGGCTGCAATTTCTGAGGCTGGTAACTTTAATGAACTTCTCCTCTGCAGCAGAGGTAACTCTGGGTCTTCCATTCCTGTGGTGGTCCTCATGAGAGCCAGTTTCATCATAGCACTTGATGGTTTTTGCGACTGCACTTGAAGAAACTTTCAAAGTTCTTGACATTTTCCGGATTGACTGACCTTCATGTCTTAAAGTAATGATGGACTGTCGTTTCTCTTTGCTTATTTGAGCTATTCTTGCCATAATATGGACTTGGTCTTTTACCAAATAGGGCTATCTTCTGTATACCACCCTTACCTTGTCACAACACAACTGATTAGCTCAAACGCATTAAGGGGGAAAGAAATTCCACAAATTAACTTTTAACAAGGCACACCTGTTAATTGAAATGTATTCCATGTGACTACCTCATGAAGCTGGTTGAGAGAATGCCAAGAGTGTGCAAAGCTGTCATCAAGGCAAAGGGTGGCTATTTGAAGAATCTCAAATATAAAATATATATTTTGATTTGTTTAACACTTTTTTGGTTACTACATGATTACATATGTGTTTTGATGTCTTCACTATTATTCTACAATGTAGAAAATTGTAAAAATAAAGACAAACCCTTGAATGAGTAGGTGTTATAAAACTTTTGACCGGTAGTGTACATCCTTAATTTAACTGACCAAAAATGTGTCTAAATAACACAGTGTGCGATAAGTGTTATCGCGGCGGCTGTACCTTGCAGTGGGATGCTGAGCTGCTGGCCATTGGCTGTGGTCATATTGAGTATGGTGGGGGTCTCGATCTTCAGCGTCCCCCCAGGCGTGAACGTGAGCCTCTTGGCAAGGGACTGCTGGGCCTGGCTGCTGCTGTCATCCCCAAACAGACGCCGCTTGGCACTGCCTGCCGCCGGGGAGCTGTAACGGTCGTGGACGGATAAGGGCGACGGAGGAATGTCTGGGAAAAGGACAGAGGTTCAGTTTGTTAGACTTGAAAGAGCATTCATTATCCTGGGGAACTTAGCATAAGCCTGAGAGTCGAAAATGATATGCCGTTATTTCAAGAGAGAGAGCTTTCATGTTATTTTGAGGACAGTATGGATGTATAATCTACTGTAATCAAAAGGGACATTAAAGTCACACCACTCCATGTGAACACAAAGATTGATACAATCTCCCTCTAGTGGCTGATTGAGGACACACACTGTGGCATACAATACTGACATACACAAAAGGGAAAAAATAAGAAATGCTGACATACTGGCTCTTTCTCAATTCATCTTTTCTCAATTCCTCGCATCCTCTCTACCTGCCTCGTTCTGAAGCAGATTTGAGAAGAAGGTCCATGTACCTTCTCCTCCAATACGGTTGAGGTGGCGAGGAGATTCAATGCGAGGAATCGTGGATAGCCTAATTGAGATAGAGCCTCTGACACCAAGATGGCCTACCTTTGCGTGCGCTGCTCAGGCCCGTTCTAAACTCTCGGATGCGGGGGTGGATGATGGGGGAGAGGGCCACCAGGGGAAGGTGGGAGGGACCAGCACTGCTGTTGCTCCCCGTGTCAAAACTACTGGGGAAGTTCACCTGGATACGATAGAGAGGAGGAAGATCAGTTAGGAATAGTTAACCATTTACAAATATATCAAGTCTGTTAACTGTGACCCCTATCCTTATGGGAATTCCCTTTGGTCCATGTTAGCTAGGATCGTGTACTTTTACTATTATATGGCTTGCATTGTTGTGATTTGTTGGGTTTAAAGTGCCTAATCAAAATGCACTAGGCACAGTTAACAGCATAAAAATACTTTGTCAGTTAAAGACTGAGGCAGGCTCTAGCTCAACACATTCCAAAGTTAAATGACTGCAGCTTATATTATAACTTATTCACCACGATAACACAACAGTAAAAAACATTTTCTGATGTACAGTAGATCCCCAATGGGCTGTGCATTGTTGTTGTAGTGTTTCTGGCTGCTCACCTCCTCCACGGTGGGGACCTTGTTGTGAGCCTGCTCCAAGGCCTCCCACAGCACAGAGTCTGCTGTCCAGGCCTGGCACTCTAGCACCTGCTCTTCGATGGAGTTCAGGTGCTTCACCATGTCCCGGGACAGACCCTCTTCCGAGCGGATGAACACCTCAATCACCTGCATGTACACATATTCAGCGTAGGTCGACGTCAGATTGTGTGTGTGTGTGTACCGGTAGACATTTCATGTGAATGTGTGTATGGTTGGATTATGGCGTGTGTGTCATTGCGTTATTGGTTAGAGATATTGCTTCAATACATACGTGTGTGTGGGTAGGGGTTGACAAGACCATTTCAATCTACTGTGAGTGGTTGAGCGTTTGCGTGCGAGTGCAGCTAGCCACTTACCTTGAAGAAGTAGAACGGTCGTAGTTTGAAGACGCTGATGATCCAGGGGAAGGTGCGCTGGGAGCTGTAGGCAAAGAGAACCACCTCCAGACAGCAGGCCATCAGAGAGCAGTGGAATATGTCCTGCTCCAGCAGCACCTACAATGTTCAATCAGTAGCACATTGAACGTACAACAGTCTGATGCACCGTCATACCTTATTTTATGCTAATCACACCTTAGCTATTCTTCATATCTGTAGGCGTTAGTTACCATATGTATGCGTGCCATAGCACGAAACAGAAGATAACGGTGTGAAACAGAGAGGCACTATCTGAACTTGTCCAATAAGAAACACTTTCAGTTTTCATTTTATCTACAGTGTATACCTAATGAACACGACCCAGTGTAACTTACAGCCATGTCTTTGCCGTGTAGCCTCCTTGTCTCCTGGGCCATGACGTTCTCGAGGATCTTGTAATAGAGGATTTCAGCCAGCTTCATCCTGTTCTCAGCAAAATCTGAACAAAGGGGGCCAATAAATGGCATTAGGAAGAACATACAAGCTTTCAATTACCCATTATTTTAACGAAATACATTTACATTTACATTTTAGTCATTTAGCAGACGCTCTTATCCAGAGCGACTTACAGTTAGTGAATGCATACATTTTCATACTGTGGTCTTGTGTCTGCTTTTTGTCTGTTCAACAGTAGAAGTAATATGCATGGAAAGCGGAATACACACAATAGATTTAATGTAAACAACTGGAAACACCTCGTCATTTTTGGAGGCATGTTTTTGACAGAACACTGTTTACGGTAAATTGCAAAAGAGTGTTGGAGCAGTTGCGTACTAAGTCCACTTTTTGACATTTGTGATGTACCCCTTCTCCAAGCGTATTTCATTCCTATTTCTGCATGCTCAATGTATTCCATCTGTATTGGTGTCTGGTATCTCACCCATGTGTGATCCAGGCAGCTCCTCTGAGTCCTTTGTGTAATGTTGCTTGAACGTCTGTCCCAGGGTTTTCACTCTGCTCAGAATGGCTTCGGTGGGGTCCCGCGAACATGACCTACATGTGAACAAGTCACAGGGCCAAAACAGTTAAACACCACATACCTTCCAATTCAAGTCGTAGTGGCCTCTATGTTTCTCTTCTCCCTGGGACTTGATTGATCAACCAATCACGGTTGGGGGAAATTATATTTCAATGGGAAAATTGGAATTGGAATTTCTGTTTACTTCCTGAATTGACTGAATTGTAATGCAATTGACCCAAACCAGATGAACATGCCTAGCTTACACAAACTATTTAACATGTAGGGATGGTTTCCCAGACCATGGTTATAAACCCAGTCCTGGACTAAAACACACTTTCAATTGAGATTCTCCATTCATGAAAATGGCCCTATACACTCTAATGGACATTTGAGGCAGTGGATGTGAGCTTACTGGAATATCTGCATCAGGGCCTCGCTGGGGGCGCTACGCAGGCCTGAGACCATGCTCTGGAGTCGGCTGACGCTTTGCGTGGCCGAGGACACAGGGGTTACCAGCAGCTCCTTCTCCTTCAGGTAACGTCTGCCCGTCAGAGGAGTGGAGGGGGCCAGGGTGCGCTTCTGCACACACACACACGACAGAACAAGGTTTTATTTGATCTCTCAAATGATCTCTGTTTAAGCGCCTTAAAGTCAGAGGGGATTTTGATTAGCGATTGAAATGGGATGGTAAACACCCTGAGAGTGGAATCACTCTTTTTCACATTTTATTCACGCAATGATTATTTAGCGAGATGACATTAGCAAAGATGTGGCCAACACAGACAAGACAATGAGCAAAACATTTTAAGCGGTATGTGGCAATATAATTTGAAAAATCTATATTTGATAAATAATCAGGAAAAAACACCTCTGTTCAGTTAGTTTGCAGAGATAGTGAGATAAATGTGCATCATCCCTGTTGATTTTCAGTTTTAAGAATGTAACTGGATTCAGCCATCTACCTTCTCAAAGTGCTGTTGCAGGTTGCTCTCCACCTGCATGCGGGCTGACAGCTGGCAGGTCCGGAGCTCTGGTGCAGCCTTCCTGGGCGTCCCGATCTCCTCGTCGGCGTCCGCCCCCAGGAACACCCTCTCGTCAAAGTCCCCCACAGTCAGCACGTATTCCTCATACTCCCGGTTTATCGCTTTACTGGGTGGCGAACACACGATATCAGACCATAAGCAAGCAACGTTAAAAACACAAGAAGACGTTTCAAACGTGACCGAGTGTGATAACATTCTAGGCACCTCTAAAAATGACAGATTAGGATCCAATAAACTCACTTGTTATCTATGAAGTTTGGTGGATCCAGTAGATCTGTCAGCAGATCCTCGTTCCCTTTAAGAATCTGGAGGAGAAGATAATGAATGAATCGACACACTGGGCCCTGGGGAGGCTCAACAGTTCCGTCGCAGGGATCAAAAGGGACTGATGCAGTTTTCCCATCTTTTCAAGGATCTCTTTATTCTAGTTCAGACAAAAAGGATCCAATTACTATCTCCCACAGGATTTACTATATTCAAAATTAATTATGTCGGCATCAGTATTCATGTGCTGTGAATGAGGGAATCCTTCCACAGAATGACTGACAGAAGACTAGAAATAACCTTGGCTGGGGGGCATGTGGCTGTGTGTGTTTGAGTGAACATTTTATGCGTAAGGGTGTGTGGTTGGATTATGGAATGTGTACATTATTGAGCTTTTGTGTGTGTGTGTGGCACGGTCGCTTTAACCCACCACAGTCCTCCACCAGACGGCAGGTCGTCATTGTTTTAATGAGGGGTCTCACCTGCCGCTCAAAGAGCCTTTTAATGTAGGGCTTGAAGTAGTGCTCCTTGATGCCCTTGGCCTCCACCACCAAGCCGTCGTGTAGCTCACACAGCCGGTCGATGACACATGGCGGCTCCTCCGGGGTGTTGTTTTCCAACCTGAAGATGCTGGGCAAGCCTGAGGACAAAGGAAGCCTTGGTTTGTCTCCACTCTTCAGTATGTCATGTTGCTCCTGATTAATCTGCCCCTTTCTCCATTTCTCTCATATTCAAAACTATAATGCTATTTGTTCATAATTCAAGTTTGAATGAGTTGAAGTCAAATGAGTGCCATCAGCTTGTTTCATTTTATTGATTACCTTTTATAAAGTAGCTGTGTTTTGTTATTGGTTGTAAATTACTTTTACGTCAATCATAACATGCTACCTTTGAAAAGTGGGTTGACAAGGTCTTTCCTGTTGGAGCACAGCAGGGCATTTCCAAACACCAAGTCCAAGCAGCAGAGCAGGAGGTGGTATGAGTTCACCAAGTCATCGCCAATCATACGGAAATTTCCTATGATCAGGGAGTAGATTATGTCACTAATAGGTGGGACTGAAGGCATTGGGTTAAATTAAAACAGAATTTCCCACATTGGTTAAAACATGTTAAAAGAGAACCGATTACATTTCCTAGCTTACCTTTAGTGTACACAAACAGGGTCCAGCAGAATTTGAATACATCACTGACGTGACAGGGCAGGCGCCTAACATAGTGAGAGGGGGGTTATGGGATGTCATAGGTAACATTTCATGCAGTCGTCTGAAACTTGCAATCAATATTTCAAACGTGATGAGATATCTATTTGGTAAAGAGACAGAGAAACAGACAGAGAGAGAGCGAAAGAGAGACAGAGACAGCCAGAGAGAGCAAAAGACCGCGATTGACAGACAGAGGCAGACATACAGCGAGAGCGAGACAGATAAAGACACACACACACAGATGAGGGAGACGGACAGAGGCAGACAGACAGAGACATGAAGAAAGCGAGCGAGACAGAGAGAGCGAGAGGGCAGAAGGACTGAGACAGACAGAAAGAGACAGACAAACCGAGATAGAGACAGACAGAGAGACCGAAAGAGACAGACCGAGGCAGACAGACAGCGAGAGAGAGAGACAGAGGCAGACACAAGAGGGAGACCGAGATACAGCGAAACAGACAGAGAGACAGACAGAGGGACAAACAGACAAAGAGGGACAGAGACAGACAGACAGGGAGACAGAGGGACAGACCGAGGCAGACAGAAAGAAAGGGACAGAGACACACAAATCAATTGGTCAGATGGACAGAGGCAGACAGACACAGACAGACAAACAGTGAGACCGAGGGAGAGGGACAGACCGAGGCAGACAGAAAGGGACAGAGAGAGCGAGAGACACACCAATCGATTGGTCGAAATATATTGACACATCCTATGCGTTTTAATCAAATCAACTATATTCACTGAGCTTGTCTGATGCTTTAAGCACACTGTTTGATTAAATAATTAAGACACACAAATGAATAGAGGGAGTCTGACCAGCAATTGATTTGATTGTGCTCAGACCTGTGTTAAAAAAGAGACAGCGAGTGACTGTGTGACTAGCACCCGTTGTCTCGCTCTCCTCCCAGCTGCAGCGACCACCACAGAACATCAGTGTTAATCGCTGTCCGTGTTGCTGAAGCTGCAACATAATTACAGCCATTTCTGACTGAAAAGTTCTGTTACTGATATCACTCATTTGTTTAGGAAAAACATTTCCTATTCCCTCAACCCTTGCTCTCTTTACGTGACACATGTATGCATTGCATGCACGTGACCAAAGACCTATTCACATGGGACTAGTATTACTAGAGAACGTTGGTTATGCAATTATTACTCAAGAATGTCCGTTATTCCAGAGGACGAGTCGGACGGGATACATTTTTTCCAAACTGCCCCTGTATTTATTTTTTAAAACAAATAGACAGTTATGACGGAAGCCTGGAGGTTCTTATTCTAGGTGTGAAGATACAGTATTGCCACATGTCCAGGTGATAGGGCCACACTGATAACTCAAGCTTGGTTCCCAAGTTTTTAAACCATAGCAAACCATCTTTGGTATAGTGTCGCCATAATATTTTAATTGAGGAAGTGTGATCATAATCATTAGGATATTTGAGCAATCCGCAGTACATCCTAAATGCCCCCCAGCCTTTAGATTTGAGCTAAAAACTGTGCAATTGCACTTGAGATGCGTTTTAAGGCTATGGATGACAAAGTTTACTTATAATTTCCAAAAGTTTAGTTTGGTTGTATGTTGCTTTGCGATCTATTAACAGCAAGGGTTGCATTAAATAGGCTCAATATTTTTTACTGATGCATTTGGCAATATTCAATTCATATGCAGAAAACATATCAACAAAAGCATTCACTGAAAGTTGATAGGCTACTTGTAGGACATTCGTATATATAGCTTATGCGCAGTTAAATTTACTGAATCAGTTTTCTTGCGCAAACAGCAAGCAACACCTGTCAAACTCAGACATTTCTCTTAAAACACAGGGATGCCAATTCAAACGGCACTAGTATTATCAGAGGACCTTAGAGTAGGTTATTCTGGCTGGAATTGTTACTCTTCTGCCATGTAAAAAATTACTGCCATGGCAGATTCGGGCGGGACTAAAAGTACAAATGTGGGATTTTGTGCTCGAGCACATAATTACATTCCCCGACTTCCCCCAGTAAAACTAAATGTGAATAGGGCACAATAGGACCTATAGCATATCATAATCACATCAATAAATTGGTTATAACAAACTCTGAACACCGTAACACATGACAGCAAAGTAGATGCAGAGGACGTGACAAATAAACTTGAAACGGGGAATGTTTACTGGTTGCTCAGGAGGTAAAGGGAAAGTCCGATATGTGGAATCAATTTGACTAGTTGTGGAAAATAATGGAGATAAAGAAAAATATGGTAAGGATCAAGTGCTGTGTGCATATTATGTGTGCCAAACAGGTGCTGTATAGATTACAACATAATTTGTCTGACCGTTTGGAACAATGTAAACACTAAATAAATTATAAGTGTACCAGAGAGTCTGTTGTATAGTTTTTTTCTATGCCTTTATTACAGCAAAGACTAAAAACAGTCGCATTCATTCGTGAATGCAATTTCCCGAAATGGAACGATTTATTTATTGTTTAAGCTAATTATTCAACGCTCGCTTTATTTTAAAACTAAAATGCTTGATTCCATTTCAAATCATGAATGACTCGTATGCTGTGACATGAACTAATGAATTATTGATTGATACAGTAGCCTATATAAGTATTTAAATATAGGCCTATGTAAGTTACGGTATTAAGACTAAACAGGATGGGCTCTTAGGCCTACAGCTCAATGGTGGTTATACAAGGCTGCTATACTAAGCCTACTAATGATGACATTACTTATGATCATAATAATAATAATAGTAACAATAATGAGATCAAGAAAAATGAGTATTATTATTAATATATTTGAAACAGTGTAAACACGAAATAAATGATAAATAATACCAAAGAGGCTGTTCTAACAGAAACAAAGTTTAAAGACTTTATTACAGCAAAGTAACGGTTAAAAACAGCCGAATTGTTTACTTGACATGTCATTGCGTGAGGCTTGGTGCTCACGGAATCAATAGGCTATTAAACAAACACTCAAACAGGCAACAGAAGCAGGATCCGTCTTAGTTCTGTAGATATATTGACGATTTATAAATCCAGGCACGTTTAACAGTTAGGCTATTGATTATAGACCTAATTTCTGGTTTCCTCACTTTTCTTAGACAATAAGGCAAGGGCTGTTTTCTCATCTCCTCATTCCGCTGCTGCCTCTGCCGCATTGTTCTCAACACCAATATGCTGGTTAACTTTGCTATTATGCACATAGCAACATGGTCTAGGAAAAGGTGCCAATTCAACAGCGCACTGATGCGTTTCAGAACCGCGGACAGCGACCACTATCCAACGCGGGAGAAAGCGCAGTTATAAATTAAATCATATTTTTATTAGTGTTGCACCACTGTTCTTATGTAATATAACCATATACAATTTTAGTAGCACGTCTTACACTGATGGACTGTGCCATCCCCACAGCCTCCACAATGGATCAGTCCACTCAGACAGGTGTCAGAAAGACAGAGCGAGTCAGTAAGACAGAGGCAGATAGACAGAGAGAGAGAGAGAGAGAGAGAGAGAGAGAGAGAGACCGAGACATACACAGGCAGAGAGAGACAGACAGAGACTGCGAGACAGAGACACAGACAAAGAGACACAGACAAAGAGACACAGACAAAGAGACACAGACAAAGAGAGAGAGAGATCGAGGCAGACAAAGAAATGGGGCTAGAGAGAGAGAATGTGTAGGCCTATACCTGTGTTTTCTGCTTCTAGGCTGTCGTGGGGGCTCCCCTTGAGGATCCTGGAACATGTCCATGAATATGGGCTCAAACTTCCGAAAGATCACAGTTGACACTTCAAAGGTTCTCTCCAGGCGGCCCATGCGATTCCGAAATTCCTGAGATAAGTTGGACATATCCGACCATTTCTTCATCTTGTTGAAGAACTGAATCAAACTGAAACCAATGTATGAAAATAAATGACATTAACTTATGAGTTATGGAAAGAATCATATAGTGCACATAAACAGTGCCATCAGAAAGTATTCATACCCTTGACTTATTACATATTTTGTGTTAAAGCCTGAATTCAAAATGGATTACATTGTGGGGTTTCTCACCAATCTAAACACAATAACCAAGCGAAAATGTTAAAAAATTTTTGCAAATGTATTGAAAACTAAATACAAAAATATCTATATACAGCACCAGTAAAAAGTTTGGACAAACCTACTCATTCAAGGGTTTTCCTTTATTTTTACTATTTAGTGAAGATATTAAAACTATCAAATAGCACATATGGAATCATGTAGTAACCAAAAAAAACATTAAACAAATTAAAATATATTTGAGACTCTTCAAAGTAGCAACCCTTTGCCTTGATGACAGCTTTGTACGCTCTTGGCATTCTCTCAACCAGCTTCATGAGGAATGATTTTCCAACAGTCTTGAAGGGGTTCTCACATATGCTGAGCACTTGTTGGCTGCTTTTCCTTCACTCTGCGGTCCAACTCATCCCAAACCACCTCAATTGGGTTGAGGTCGAGTGATTGTGGAGGCCAGATCATCTGATGCAGCACTCCATTACTCTCCTTGGTCAAATAGCCCTTACACAGCCTGGAGGTGTGTTTTGGGTCATTGTCCTGTTGAAAAACGAATGATAGTCCCACTAAGCGCAAACCAGGTGGGATGGCATATCGCTGCGGTAGCCATGCTTGTTAAGTTTGCCTTGAATTCTAAATAAGTCACAGACAGTGTCACCAGCAAAGCACCACCACACCATCACACCTCCTCCTCCATGCTTCACGGTGGGATCCACATATGCGGATATCATCCCTCCACCTAGTCTGCGTCTCACAAAGACACGGTGGTTGGCGTCCAAAATCCACAAATTTGGACTCATCAGACCAAAGGACAGTTATCCACCAGTTTAATGTCCATTGCTCATGTTTCTTGGCCCAAGCAAGTCTCTTCTTATTGGTGTCCTTTAGTAGTGGTTTCTTTGCAGCAATTTGACCATGAAGGCCTGATTCACGCAGTCTCCTCGGAACAGTTGATGTTGAGATGTCTGTTACTTGAACTCTGTGAAGCATTTATTTGGGCTGCAATTTCTGAGGCTGGTAACACTAATGAACTTCTCCTCTGCAGCAGAGGTAACTCTGGGTCTTCCTTTCCTGTGGCGGTCCTCATGAGAGACAGTTTCATCATAGCGCTTGATGGTTTTTGCGACTGCACTTGAAGAAACTTTCAAAGTTCTTGAAATGTTCCGTTTTGACTGACCTTCATGTCTTAAAGTAATGATGGACTATCATTCATCTTTGCTTATTTGAGCTGTTCTTGCCATAATATGGACTTGGTCTTTTACCAAATAGGGCTTTCTTCTGTATACCACCCTTCCTTTGTCACAACAAAACTGATTGGCTCAAACGCATTAAGGAAAGAAAGAAATTCCACAAATTAACAAGGCACACGTGCTAATTGAAATGCATTCCAAGTGACTACCTCATGAAGCTGGTTGAGAGAATGCCAAGAGTGAACGAAGCTGTCATCAAGGCAAAGGGTGGCTACTTCGAAGAATCTCAAATACAAAATATATTTAGATTTGTTTAACACTTGGTTACTACATGATTACATGTGTTATTTCATAGTTTTGATGTCTTCACTATTATTCTACAATGTAAAAAAATTGTAAAAATAAAGAAAACCCTTGGATGAGTAGGTGTGTCCAAACATTTGACTGGAACTGTACGTACAGTGGGGAGAACAAGTATTTGATACACTGCCGATTTTGCAGGTTTTCCTACTTACAAAGCATGTAGAGGTCTGTAATTTTTATCATAGGTACACTTCAACTGTGAGAGACAAAAATCCAGAAAATCACATTGTATGATTTTTAAGTAATTAATTTGCATTTTATTGCATGACATAATAATAATATAATATAATATAATATGCCATTTAGCAGACGCTTTTATCCAAAGCGACTTACAGTCGTGCGTGCATACATTTTTGTGTATGGGTGGTCCCGGGGATCGAACCCACTACCTTGGCGTTACAAGCGCCGTGCTCTACCAGCTGAGCTACAGAGGACCACATAAGTATTTGATACATCAGAAAAGCAGAACTTAATATTTGGTACAGAAACCTTTGTTTGCAATTACAGAGATCATACGTTTCCTGTAGGTCTTGACCAGGTTTGCACACACTGCAGCAGGGATTTTGGCCCACTCCTCCATACAGACCTTCTCCAGATCCTTCAGGTTTCGGGGCTGTCGATGGGCAATATACGGACTTTCAGCTCCCTCCAAAGATGTTCTATTGGGTTCAGATCTGGAGACTGGCTAGGCCACTCCAGGACCGTGAGATGCTTCTTACGGAGCCACTCCTTAGTTGCCCTGGCTGTCGTTGTCATGCTGGAAGACCCAGCCACGACCCATATTCAATGCTCTTACTGAGGGAAGGAGGTTGTTGGCCAAGATCTCGCGATACATGGCCCCATCCATCCTCCCCTCAATACGGTGCAGTCGTCCTGTCCCCTTTGCAGAAAAGCATCCCCAAAAGAATGATGTTTCCACCTCCATGCTTCACGGTTGGGATGGTGTTCTTGGGGTTGTACTCATCCTTTTTCTTCCTCCAAACACGCGAGTGGAGTTTAGACCAAAAAGCTCTATTTTTGTCTCATCAGACCACATGATCTTCTCCCATTCCTCCTCTGGATCATCCAGATGGTCATTGGCAAACTTCAGACGGGCCTGGACATGCGCTGGCTTGAGCAGGGGGACCTTGCGTGTGCTGCAGGATTTTAATCCATAACGGCGTAGTGTGTTACTAATGGTTTTCTTTGAGACTGTGGTCCCAGCTCTCTTCAGGTCATTGACCAGGTCCTGCCGTGTAGTTCTGGGCTGATCCCTCACCTTCCTCATGATCATTGATGCCCCACGAGGTGAGATCTTGCATGGAGCCCCAGACCGAGGGTGATTGACCGTCATCTTGAACTTCTTCCATTTTCTAATAATTGCGCCAACAGTTGTTGCCTTCTCACCAAGCTGCTTGCCTATTGTCCTGTAGCCCATCCCAGCCTTGTGCAGGTCTACAATTTTATCCCTGATGTCCTTACACAGCTGTCTGGCCTTGGCCATTGTGGAGAGGTTGGAGTCGGTTTGATTGAGTGTGTGGACAGGTGTCTTTTATACAGGTAACGAGTTCAAACAGGTGCAGTTAATACAGGTAATGAGTGGAGAACAGGAGGGCTTAAAGAAAAACTAACAGGTCTGTGAGAGCCATAATTCTTACTGGTTGGTAGGTGATCAAATACTTATGTCATGCAATAAAATGCAAATTAATTACTTAAAAATCATACAAATGTAATTTTCTGGGTTTTTGTTTTAGATTCTGTCTCTCACAGTTGAAGTGCACCTATGATAAAAATACAGACCTCTACATGCATTGTAAGTAGGAAAACCTGCAAAATTGGCAGTGTATCAAATACTTGTTCTCCCCACTGTATGTACACCCCCAAGTCAATACTGGTTAGAATCACCTTTGGCAGTGATTACAGCTGTGAGTCTTTCTGGCTAAGTCCCTAATAGCTTTGCACACATGGATTACTAGCATACCCATAACATGACGCAGCCACCACTATGCTTGAAAATATGGAGAGTGGTACTCAGTCATGTGTTGTATTAAATTTGACCCAAACATAACACTTTGTATTCAGGACAAAAAGGTAATTGCTTTCCCACATTTTGCAGTATTACTTTAGTGCCTTGTTGCAAACAGGATGCAAGTTCTGGAATATTGGTATTATGTACAGGCTTCCTTCTTTTCACTGTCAATTATGTTAGGATTGTGGAGTTACTACAATGTTGTTGATCCATCAGTTTTCTCCTATCACAGCCATTAAACTCTGTAACTGTTTTAAAGTCACCATTGGCCTCATTGTGAAATCCCTGAGCGGTTTCCTTCCTCTCCGACAACTGAGTTAGGAAGGATGCCTGTATCTTTGTAGTGACTGGGTGTATTGATACACCATCCAAAGTGTAATTAACAATTTCGCCATGCTCAAAAGGATATTGAATGTCTTTTATTTTTTTTCTACCCATCTACCAATAGGTGTCCTTATTTGCGAGGCATTGGAAAACCTCCCTGGTCTTTGTGGTTGATCTGTGTTTGAAATTCCCTGCTCGACTCAAGGGACCTTACAGATAATTTTATGTGTGGGGTACAGAGATAAGGTAGTCATTCAAAAATTATGCTAAACACTATTATTGCACACAGAGTGAGTCCGTGCAACTTATATGACTTAAGATAATGTTTACCCCTGAACTTATTTAGGCTTGCCATAACAAAGGGGTTGAATAATTGTTTTATTAATAATAAAATGAAGAAATAAAAATACATACTAATTCCACTTTGACATTATGGGGTATTGTGTGTAGGCCAGTGAAAAAAAGTCTCAACTTAAATCATTTAAAATTCAGGCTGTAACATAACAAAAAGTGGAAAAAGTCAAGGGGTGTGAATACTTTCTGAAGGCGCTGTAGACACGATGTGGGAGGTTTGGGGACCAAGCCTCTCATTACTGACCTCAGTTTCGACGTCCTGAGTATTCGAGTCAGGGACACACAGTTGCCTTCCATCACTCCCTTACCCACAGTGGGCGTGGAGCCCTTTCTGCAGGCTGCATAGAGAGAGCAGGCTAGCCAATGAACTACTTCCCCCTGAAAGAAAGACAAGTCAGAAGTGTATGGCAAGTGATGACAGTAAATCACAGTGCTTTATGCTATACCGTATACCGGGGTATTTCGAAAACACCAACGGTAAAATGTTCAATACCGTAAAAAATTTAATAAATATACACACATTTGGAAGGTTGGGGGCAACCCCGCTTAGCGTGGTCTGCAGGGGTGCGTGCTACACCACTGCTTATAACTATGTTAACCCTTCTACAATTTCAGCGGCCCGCAGAAATCAAATTAACATAAAATAATCCCCATCAAAATCTGTCTATTTAAACTACAGTTCTTTCTTTTTTGCATGGGCTGTGACTCAATCCACCGCATCCGCCGATATCGACCTTCCGCATCTGCGGTGAAAGGTGGCAAAGCTATAGCGGTGTTTGTCAGACCATGAGACATCCTGAAAATCGGTCTTCTCACGAAAACGTCTGTAGCGTGCAAACGGTTTGGCCTACAAACTATTTGACTCGTGGAAAGATGACTCTCACGAACAGGATGGCGTTGTCCGTTTTGATCTACTGATCCCAAAAGCATCATGGGACTTGTCTGAAATCGGTACAGCCTCTTCTGCCAACTTCTGTCGGTAGCTTCCGAACAGTTTGGGCTACACACTAAAATGACCCCTCTGTGGAAAGGTGAGTCTCTCATGAACACATTATGCTCTATGACACACACAAGCCTCACAAGACTTGTCTGAAGGTCCCCGGTACCCCTTTAAAAAAGTGAATGGAAGTATATATGGAGATAGTTTAGTGCCTAAAATAACGGGTTTCTATAGGCTAAGGGCGGCAGGTAACCTGGCGGGTAGGAGCGTTGGGCCAGTAACCGAAAGGTTGTTAGATCAAATCCCTGAGCTGACAATGTCATAATCTGTCGTTCTGCCCCTGAGCAAGGCCCACTGTTCCCCAGGCGCCGATGACGTGGATGTAGATTAAGGCAGCCCCCCGCACCTCTCTGATTCAGAGGGGTTGGGTTAAATACAGAAGACACATTTCAGTGCAGTGATGCCAAATTCAATGTTTCATCAAATACTTTTTCTATATAATTTTTTGATACCTAAGGGGTCTTAAAATTCCAAATCAAATAGCTAAATGATCCTTGGTATGACCATCTTAAAACAATTCCATATGTTAGCTTAGTAGAACAGGATTTTCTAATGATCAATTAGCCTTTTAAAATGATAAACTTGGATTAGCAAACACAACGTTCCATTGGAACACAGAACAGATTTTTGCTGATAATGGGCCTCTGTACGCCTATGTAGATATTTCATTTTTAAAAATCAGCCATTTCCAGCTACAATCGCCATTTACAACATTAACAATGTCTACACTGTATTTCTGATCAATTTGATGTTATTTTAATGATAAATTGTTTTACTTTTCTTTCGAAAACAAGGACATTTCTAACTGACCGCAAACTTTTGAACGGTAGTGTAAATTATTTAGTATATGTAAAGACAAGATTAAATCAAGAATAGTCTGATGGGTGACAATATTAGCCTATCACTTGTGAATGATGCCAAGCGTAAGGCAAGAAACAACACCTTTTTTTTGCGACTTTTTGAATCATAGACACACACCTCATGTAGCCTAGCCCATAGGCCTATATGTTTTGATAGGGTTTGTATCACAACTAAATAACTTCTAAAAATTAAGCACATTAATCCGCTTTACAAGGGGTGAAGAGACTAACTGGCAGCGTGTGAGTTTCAAGTTTGGGGAAGATAATTTTCACAATAAAAATGCACCATTATAATAAAGCATTACATATATAATCACATTTGCGGTCACTTTTGATAATGGTGTTTTCCCGCTAATGGAACATTTGCACTTATAGCCTACTGCCGTGTGCACATTGCTGCGCTTATAATGTGAAGAAATAGCCTAATAGTTTATGAACATTAAGCTAAACGTTCTGATCTGTTATGTCAGCCTCATTGCGTAAAACAGTTTTTTTGATGCTAGTGGTTGTATTAATTTGGGATCTATCGCATCCCACAACTGTCCCAGACTATGTTTGGAATATTTATTTCTCGCACAGAATAGGTCAACTTTTGTACTATGGGGGATAGTAGATTGACATAGGCTAGTGCTTTTGCTGTTCGTTAGGCCTACTCATCTTGTTGGCTGACGAAAAGTAAATGTGGAAAGTTCTTCCAATATCTTCAATATGCACCTCGGAATTATAAGGACGTGCACAGTTGCGTCCCCAAAGTGTCTGTCTTCACTTGTAGCCTGTGATAAAGACCCGATCACGTGATTGAGAGCCACGCGAGTGAGAGGTGCTTCGGAGCAAGCAGCACTCAGAGAAGGGAATTATCATTATTATATTCAGCCCTAGGGCACAATGGCCACTGGCCGCAAAAGGCATGGATTTTTTTAGGGGGCATTACGGCCACACAAAGGTGATGCCGCTGGGAAATTCGAGGCTTTATCAAGTGCTTGTCAAATTGTGAATGAGAGACTGACGAAATGTGTACAGCCAGCGCAAAAAACAATGCAGAGCTCATGCCTTTCATGCGACTTTTTGCAAATCAGCATTAGAGTCGCATCATGCAGCCTTACAATGTATTAAAAATCAAAACATTTAGCCCAACGTTTGTAGAAGTTACATTAATAACTCTAAATTAAGCATATGAGTACCTATTTCTTTGTTAACCGCTCAACACAGAATAGCCGCGTGTGCGCACTCCCTCAAATACCCTTTCTATTTTATTCAGCTTTGTTCAATTGTATTCTTCATAATATAAAATAATGCTACGGAATTCTAAGCAAATCTAGGTCTCCTAAATGAACTAGTGTAGCCCACAGCCATATGGCATAGCCAGATGAGGACCTAACATAACAACAACTCAAGAGTATGCTATTCTGTTCTTCTCAAATAGACTACATTTTCTTCATATCATGCTTCTTTAGACCTGTCTAAAATAAATAATGGATTTATTGTGATGGTGTAGGCTATATTACATGGATTTATTATACTTTTTTTTTATGTAGATGTTCCAAAAGGTCTGCATCAGTGGCTTGTAGGCTATGTGTGGAAGCCAGGAGATGCTAAATGTGTTTACGTTAATTAAACTGTCAATTACCGTGAGACCGGCAGTTATTTGCTTGACAATCACCGGCTGACTAAATTCCGTGAACGCCACAGCCCTAGGATAGTGAGGTGCTTTCCCACAGTTAAAGTTCCAAACTCTTCACAGTTGTGTTCTATGGGTGTCACTGAGTAGAGTGATACCCAGTTTCATGGAGCCACAATCCATAGGTAAGGCTGTACAGTCAAATAAATACCCCCAATGCAATTCTGAAGTCCAATACATCCACAGTGTGATACATTTTTTTCTCCAATTTACATAAAACATTCCAACCATTTTTAGCATGATCTAGTAGTCCAAAATACAGTGTTTTCCAGAAGCACATGAAGTAGCTAGCCCAACAACAACAACAAGACGTAGCCAGCCAGGATTCCCCAGGCCCCGAGGAATAATTTTTGGTGGCCTCTGGTTCATTCTAATGCCTTGATTCCATCTGAAATACACAACAAAATTATTTTATATTTAGAGTTTACCTCCCAGATTGGAATAATTTGTTGTGGTATTATGTTTTCAATTTAAATGACTGAAAATGTATGAATTCAGCGTATTGTTCGTTTTGGGCGATATCGTCTTGGCATATATGATCAGGTATATTTTCTAAGTAAGAGAACATTAAACTTTTTATTAATTTTTATTTTTTACATTTAACCTCTTCTTTTGAAATTCAAGTATTTTACAGCTAGACATTAATTGCCAGAATGTTTGTTTTTTAAATTATGTATTTTAATAAAACAGAAAAATTCAGTAAATAGCCCAAATTATCTTGCTTTTTTAAAAGATTACATTGTAAAATCTAACAAATTGTGTGATGGGACTTTTTCCTAATTGAAAAATTGGTCTCTAAAATAAACAGAACAGATGCTCAATTAAGTTATGGGTGTTAAGAGAAGAAAGAGAACGATCTCAGTTAAATTAGTAAAAGAATTTCAACAAGTGTTTACAACTCTTTGTGAATTGCAGTATGTCATTTATTTATAAAATAAATAAATAAGTTTAACAAATTCTTAAAGAATCTTGTAAGAGTCTGCTGACTTCCACAGGCTTCAAGCTTCCTTTTAAGAGGCATGATTGAAGAATGAAGCAGGTGTTAATTATGGGCTTTGCTACACATAAAGAAGCAGTTGACTACTCCATTGTCAACACTTTGATTAAATCAGCAGACTACCTATTGTTCCTGCAGTGAGGAAGATTCACCTTGGTCATCGAATGTTTTCATAATTTATCTGCAGATAATCGCCAAAAGGCATACCAGTATGCAAATTAGGGAGCCAAATGAATGTCTCTGTTACCGATGCGATTCGGTAGGCTACTGATGAGTCACTCACTTTCATGTCACTGACTGGCAAGTCCTGATGGACTTCATATCGAAAATACAAATGAGATCTTTAGTTTACTTGTCCCAATGCGATACCATGGATCACTAAACGAAGATAGACCACAGCCTGTCATTTCCAATGGGAACCAATTAGTCATAGTGGGCAGAACAAGCAAGATTGTGGGCAGAGCCAAGCACGAGCTAGTGAGATCCTATTGGCGCGTTCTAGCATACATCAGCATATTTACGTTAGGGAACACCTCCTCTGTGAAGTGCGTGTGTGCAATTACTAAATTCAACTTTGCACTCTCCTTTTCTAAAGGGTAAAGTCTACTAAACTTAGTCCACTCTGTTCATAATATATTCTAGTTTTGGGAACAGATAACTGTACTGATATCAAATGTTTAAATCTATGAGAAAATGTGCAGAATGTCGGCCAAAATCCATCTTCTCCCACTGCCAGCCAGTAGGCTTCCTCTCACTACCATATTTGGAAGTGAGTGGAAACGCTAAGCGGATGGTTCACATTTGGTGAAATATCTCTCATTGTTCTATCTGTGGTTGAACAGTCT